TTAAAACCAGCCCTTGTCTCTTTCCCCAACTTCCTCCTAGTTCCCTTCTCATTCGCTTCACTAATGTCATTGATGTCATACTTGTTCTCGAATGCATTGTATTACAAACAATGCATGTACTTCAATAATTCACCGAGACCTTTGCACTTATGCTGAATTAATTCTGCAGGTGGCATTCTGCCAATATGAGAGGACTCCGTTTTTCACTTTTCCAGACACAAGACATGCATTAAAATCTTCTGTTGTCCCTCAAAAACTCGTCAATCTCGATACTAGGGAAACATGAGAAATCCGACATTTCGTACTTCTACCAGTTTTTTGTTGGCCCCATTTGGCTCATTTAGTGAACTGAGGTGTTTTCTGGTAAATAACGAAAAAGAGGAGCCAACTGACTGCTCGAAACGAATTAATATTCAACTGAGGTGGAGGGGTGAGTGGTGAATGACGCAGTTCACACATGCACCAGTTCGAATCCCTGAACGGTCACGCGTTCGAATCCCGGAACGATATTCACCTAGCCCAACCAACATTTATCCCTCTGGGGTCGGTTAATTGGTACCAGACTCGTCTGTTAGGATAAAAGCGGTGACTTGTACATTGGGTTGCCACCGCAAGTCATTGTATAGGCCACATACGCACTCATTACGCCACTACGATTCTGAATGGAAGTCGAGTGCGGGGGCGCATCCCGCAGACGGGATTGATTAACGCCAAAAAACTTTATTCTTTTGGAATTTTAATTTTCAAAAAAAAAACTGATATTTTAACTCTACAGTCTCTCTCATCCAAATCGTCCATCTCAGCGGACTTCCTTTTGAATTAGAGTGATTCCACGAAGTTTCTGTATCTGAAGAAAGGCATACGAAAGAAAGTTGCAGCTCATAAATTACCGTGTGTTTCTTGAACTGTTATTTTTTGTTTGTTTGTTTATAAACGTTCGTTTGGGGAAATAGTTTCAGCGTTCGTAAGGTTCCAACAGCCTCAGCAAAACTTCCCCGACTAGACTTCATTGACTTTGCATAGACGTCTAGCACCAGTACATAAGGACGTCACTCTTACGAATCATGCTGACGCAGTCTAAACGGGAAAACCCTAGGAAACAAGTCGTTTTTATTGACTGCTCTTTAAATCTAATTTATTTCCCAAGCGCTTTGCACTTTCTTGGGCGAAGCTGTGAATAATCACGTTTGTTCCGAGCACGTCTGCATGTGAATCGAATCTACAAGTCGGAAAAATGACGAAGGAGGATTCGCAGTGATAAAACAAACAGGTTTCTGATGATACCAAGCGATAGGACAGAGGTGGTGT